GAGTCTGGCRCCAGGAGCCAGAGCAAAGTGTTTATTTTAAATGTGTGTGACTATTGTCGGTTGTGGATAATGGAAGTTCTCTGTCCTCAAAACACAACTGCAGAGAGCCAAAGGCAGCCAGTGTCTGAAGGCTGCCAGGACACCGTGTCACAGCTGTAGTTACAGTAACCATCGCTAGGGCTAATGTGGAAATTCTCTCAGTATTGCCTTTTAGGTTGAAATCTGTTTACATTGTGGAGTCTTCATAGCACATGTTCTATCCGGTTGCTGTTTGCTGAGAAGTGTGCATGAAAGATGACCTATAAGCTATAAAAAATAACACTCAGTTTTAGGCCTATCACTCAGGGTGCTAATTTATAGAATGAGGCTTGTGCTGCTGGCCTGTTTCCCCACTAGAATAGAAATTATCAATACTCTTTGCACAGGGCTCAGACTTTCATCAGTCTCAGTCTTGCTTATTTAATGATGTAGCCTGATGCAAATCAATCCCCAACAGACAAAATATCTTATTCCATTTGCAATCCCTTGCAAATCCTCAGCTAGTATTTTTTATTTCTTCCACTGCGGCCTTCTTCTTCTTGTACTAACATTCATTACAATGTATTCTACACATTTATGCTCAATACATCTCTCCCATTTATATGCAATCTCTCATCTTTATTTTCTTCCTTTTTTTTTTTTTTTTTTTTTTTTTTGCATGGGAATTTCAAAGAAGACATTGATGTGACAGATAATCACATTTCTCTTTATTCTGATGGCTCTTTCATGTCTTCAAGCTTGGGAAGATCTCCAGATCAATGGTGAAGATGTTCAGTACTGTCTTTGTCTCTAAGACTGATTCTTTTATCACTAGCTAAACTCTACAAGTAAACTACCACACAAATATATCACCAGTGAATTAGTGCAAATGTAGAAATGCAGAATGGTCCATCTTTAAGATTGTAGCTAAGTAATGAAACATTAATGAAATAGCCTAATATTCCTTCTAGCTCTTCAAAGTTCACTACAATGTTCATTCTAGACACTGGTAATTTGAATGACACTGGTAATTCTAGACTGGACATTCTAGACACTGGTAATTTGGGGCAAGTTGAATAGCCAGCCCTATTCTGCATCACTTTGCTGCTGTTTTATTCTAACTTCATTTTTTCAGCAAATTTAGAGATGCTTCTCTGTTAAGACCTTATTTATTTCACCATCCAACACAGACAAGTAAAGATCATTAAAGGTATATTCTTATTTTGTCTGAGGAAYGTATATTCTTTATCCAATACTTAAAATATTACTTTTTTTCCATTGCCTCCACAAATTTCTTGTCAGCAAATGGGTTTTGTTTCTTAGTTACTTTTTCCAGGAATGATCTTGAGAAGTTTCACATAGAAACTTAATGTTGTTCAAACTGTGTTTTCTCTGACTTGGGTATGATTACACCCTGGCTATATAGAAATAAGCTGCATTCCAGAATTCTGAAAGAAGGGGCATAGGCAAGTGCAAATCAGAAGGAAATATTTTAAAAAAATCTTTCACAGAATTGTGTTATTGGAGAAAATATATTACTCATTTTTAAGGAAATAAAATAATTATGCTGGCCAGAGGGCTGATATACTCTCAACAGTTCGAGTCTCAACAGTTTGCAAGACTCTAGGAATATTTTGAAGAGAAGGCCCAGGACAGACTTAGCAAAAATAGCTTACCTTGTGTAGCTTACCTTTCTTTGATAATAGCCAATTTCATGGACACAGGAAATGCAGCAGCTATAATTTATTTAGACTTCATTAAGCATTTGATAGAAACCATGTAGAGAATAAATAGTTATGAATTAGGGATTAGTATGAAGTGAACAAGGAGCTGGTTAAGGAGAGATGGGATGGCTGATGCTCAAAAGCTCTCCATTTATTGTATTAGCAAATAGTGCAGCCCAATGGGAACAAATCTGCAAAGCAGTTGGTACCAAGGACCCAATATCTACACTATAGATGGAGTTCTGATCTTCCCATGTCTGTCTCCATTGACTGAATTCTGAGTAGTATCTGGAGCCTACAGGGGCACAGCTGGAGAACATCCCTGCTTTAGTTTCATCCGAAAGGAGTCCCATTTCCATGCTGATAGCACTCCGTAGTACAAACCAAAGCACAGTTGGAAGGGAGAACTGAGAGATTTTCTCTAGAAGAAGTAATGTCTGGAGATGAGATTCATTTCAGGAATTCAGCTCAGTGAGCAGCCACATTACAGTTTGGTCTGAATAATGAAGCACGATGACATCTCTGCTAATCGTAAGGACGCTGATAGCTGACTGTGTTCTCTAGTCTTTCACACACAAATCCCTAGTCTGCTGCTCAGGGTATTTTAAGGATTGCAGCAACCACCAGATACTATCTGGAGTACTCTGCCCCTTATCAAGCACTGCAAAGGTATCTCTTGATACCTAACACAGTTATTTGTGGAACTATTTAGAGGTCTGTAATGTAAACTCTGGTGTATAGAGAATCCTAGAATCCTTAAGGTTGGAAGGGACCTTTAGAGATCTTCTAGTCCAACCCGCCTGCTCATGCAGGGTCACCTAGAACATGTGGCACAGGATGGTGTCCAAGTGGGTTTGGAAGATCTCCAGAGAAGGAGACTCCACAGCCTCTCTGGGCAGCCTGTGCCAGGGCTCTGTCACCCTCACTGTTAAGAAATTTTTCCTTAAGTTCCTGTGGAACTTTCGATGCTTTAGTACTGCCTGCCAGAATAACAATGTATTTTCTCAGGACTGCAAAAACATTCAAATACGTCAATCTCCTTTTTCTCCTCACAGAGACATGTCTTTGACAGACACATTTGTGGGCTCAGTGTAAAAATCTGTAATATTTCCAACATTTGAAAAAATGCAGTTGTTGACCAAAATTTACTATATTAAAGGAAGTTACAAACTGTATGTGTATGTATAAACAGACAATCTTGTTTCCTGTTATTTTTGGCTACAGATAATCTCATAGGGCTGGTGGTCTCTGTTGCAGAACAGATATTAATAACACACAAGGGTATTTTAGAACAACTGATCTCCTATAAACATAGCTGATTAAACAACTAAATAAAAAAAGGATATCCTTGAAATCCTTATTCCAGCTTTACTTTTTAATGTCTCACTCTGTTGCTGACACTCACATGAGTCATTATTTAACACCAATGTGAACAATAAGTAAGGGTTCAGCTAGTTCCATTCTAGAGTAAAACCTCTGGGAAGGAATTTCTACAAAGTTTCCCTTAGCAAAGTTGCTATTTGACAGCTTGCAAAGAACCATATTTCTTACCTCCATGAAGCAGGCTGCATAATACAAGTTCTCCTATATGATGAATCCCGTTTAGTACGGTGATGACCAAGGCTTCATGCCTCAGATGCTTCCTTCTTTCCTGGTGACATGGACCTAACAGAAACACGAAACCTGCACTAACAAATTCAGCTATCACATTAGTAGACAAAAAACAGCAGGTTAATGTCTCGATGAAGTAACTATATAACAAGTTGAGAGCTCTTCTAAAGATAACATGGTAGGAGCTATATTTTCTTGCCTAATGCCTCGCTGAAAGAGTGATCAGCTGATCCGTTTTGCAGACATCCAGAGCTTGACATCAGCTTGAGATAGATATGAAACATGCCACTGTGTAGATGTCTGGACCACTTCCATGAGGATCATGGAGTGGTGTAAGGCTTGGGGCCATATAAACTATTATTAGAAGAAGGTAGGAACAGAGAAGTCAAATATTAACTGCACCTCTACAAACGCAAGATGGTTGTATTGTTCCCATTTCTATCAGGCTGTGTATCTTCTTTCCTCCCTCCCAGCCTCAAAGCCCCATTCTCCAGCTGACAGACAACAGATGGACCAGTTACAAAACAGAATGTTCTACCAGTGGGTAATTTCAGCAGAGAGTCACTTATTCCATGTTCTGGGTATTTTTTTTTGCCTTAGGCAGTGCCAGTGTCACACGGAGTTTAATGAAACTGCTTCAGATGCCTCAACTAGCAACCAATGACCTTTCTGCAAGTATTTATAACCAGTGCAAAGGGTATGAAGAGACATAGCACAGAAGTTCCCATACACCTCAAACATTGCACTGAGCTCTGTACTCTCATTTACTGCACAGTCCACTCACCTATTACTCCAGATTCCTCATAAAATGGATGAGGAAAAGAGTAATTTCTATGAAGGTTTTTGGAAGACAGTAACGCACTCATCTGCAGCCCTTCCACATTCTAGGGAGCATCATTACGTTATGTGATTCCATGTCGATCTTCCCTTTCTCACTAGAGTACTGTTGATAAAGAACTATAAGTTCATGTGAGTTATTTTGAGCCATCTATTCTGAAAAAGCCTTTTGTTTTTTTTTTTAATCAATCAGGAAATTCATGAAATGTTCTGATTTGTTATAAAATCAGCGTTCACCAACTAAAGATGACTAATCATGGATTTGCCTTGGTAAATACATATCATTGCTAAGTTTGTAACCAAGCAAAGCCYGATTAAGCTTACCTAATATGTAAAAGAAATCTCAACAACAAGAGTCTTTCTCATAGACTGAAAAAAAATCTATTCCCTGGGTAATTCCTGATAGCTACTATTTTAAATACATAAAATATCAAACCAGGTCTTTCTACGTATTGCATTTTGTTAAAAAGGGAGTGAGAGAGAGAAAGAGTATTCTTATTTTAAACTAATTTTAATATGCCTTTCAGGACAGAATAACAAGTGTAGATCCAAAATTTATCTGAAAAATCTGCATAGACGGAAAGGTGTAAATATAGTTTGTATGTTTCTATAGAAATGCTTAATTTCTCTTCTTTCATTTATAAAGTGCATCATGCCAGAGCTGTAAGACCATATGTAGCCAAATAAAAAATAAAAAGCTTCAAAAACCTAGACTGCATGTGAAGCACACACCTAAATAGGAAGACCATGTTATAAAGGTGTCACAAAAAGTCAAATGCATTAATTAACATTAATTAAATAAGTTACTCAGTAATTGCTGCTTTTTTTTTAAAAAACAATAATCTTTACAAGAAATGATGCTATTTTAATAGACATTTACCCTTATTCTTCCATCAAGATATCTAACAGGATGATGCATAAACCAATTTTAGTCATTATTATTGCATTTGGCTGGGSAGAAAGAAGCAATTAAATTCATCACAGTGATTGTTATTAAAATGAAATTCCAAACAATACTAAATAATTCACATGGGAAACAGTCAAAATGACTGCAAGTTTACATTAAAAAGTTCTTATTAAGGGTTGTGCCACTCAGTAAACTAAAGAGCTTTTAAACAAAAGCCTGATCTTATTCATATTGAACTCAATAATAATACATAAGAAAATTAGTCAGAGAAGAACTTTCATTAAAAAAAAACATGCTATGAAACGAAATACACAATATTATTTTTACTGTAACAGAGAGTCATGAGATTATTGCCTATTGTATGATACCCACTGACAACAGCACTGGGTTTCTGAAGAATCCTTGAATGCAAAGACAGGCAACTTAATGGAAACTGAAAGATTACATGAACAAGAGACAATAAACCTAGGAAAAATATGCTGTAAGAATCAAWTTTTTCAATGTGCCAAATACTTCATTTAGGTTCATCATTTAATCCAATTATTTAGCACATTGTGTTGTTAGTCATTACAGACATAGTCTATAAAAATCAATCAAAGCTTAAACACAGTGGCCACCCCCTAACACAAATGCACTGTTAAAGATGAGGCCAAGAAAAGAAACAATCATCCCATAGGCAAATGTCATAAGGTTGAGCCACACTAAAATTAAGTCTTGATTAGCGTATCTCCAAGCATCTTTAAACTTAAATTACCCCATATAAATGAGGTACAATTCACAGTGCTTGCAATATTTAAGCACTTCTTCAGCACCTTTCAAAAGCGCTTTACAAACATTAAATATGGTCTGAAAACCCATTTGTTGCTCTTTCATTATAACACCCATAAATGTGCAGGGCGAGTACCTCCTCATCAGTGTAAAGTCAGGAATACAGGACTTAACCCACAGACCTTAAAAAAAGCAGTATAAAAAAAGGTAAGGAAGTATTCCTAATGGCCATTTAACAGATTATAAAACAGTAGCAGGGAGGTTAAATGACTTGTCCCAGATGATCAATGGAGTCATAGCAGCTTTGGGCTCTTTTTATTAGATATAAATGTATTTGACTGTAGTATAAAGCCACAGTCTGTGGTGAACWGAGGTATGAAGAGACTGCACTGCAGCCAGAGGGTGTAAGAAGAATTCTGCACTACAAGCAGCAATAAGCAGTTAAATTAAGTGCTTACTATGTCCTTGTACCGGTCTTCTTGTATTTTTTTTTTTCTTAACAGAAATGATTTTGAACATTAGCAGTTATTAGATAATTGAGCAAACTAAGACAAAGTGGCTGAGTGCACATGAGATAAACTCCATGTTCTGGAAAGCCCCTTAATAGGTTTTTATTTTTCCCCATCTCTGACGCAAAGAATGTCCTCATTTGGTATCCTTGGATTTACTATCTCAGAAAAGGGATACATTCACATACAACATAATGGCATTACTAGGGTTGAGATGCCATTTCCACAGCACCTGGAAATGATGTACAGGGTGTTATACATGGTGTTATAGCTGTCTCAGATACTTACAGAAAGGGAACATTTACTCTGAAAATTCCATGCTTATGGAATAACTCAGTTCCTGGTATATTCTAGAGGTAGGCCTCAGTCATTCTGAGAGATCTAGAAGCCATTACAAATTTGAAGATCCACAAGAAAACCAAGTGTATTCCTGGGAATTCTAGGGACTGCGTTGGTGCTTCTCCCTGTCCCAATCCCAGCTGCCATATGTTCTCTCCCTCTATAAATATCCCATTTTGCTGAGGAAGGTCAAAATGTGCAAAGGGTGTAAATACTGCAACAGTCATCACTAAGTCAGGCATCGATTTATTCTTGGAAATCTAAGAGCTATGGAAGCAACTATCTCATATAGAGCAGCAAGTCCCAAGTTCCTCACCAAATATCTCCAGTAAAAATTTCAAAACTAGAATCGTGGAGTTAGGAGGAAGACATGTCTCAGGTTACTGAGAAAACACAGTATGCTGGCTTGGCTCCATTCTCCCTATGTGATTTTTAGCCTGAGGACTCTCTTTGCTTCCACCTTATTAAAAAATGTTATTAAAAAGAAAATCATAGGCTTATGGATAATTGCTTTGTATTGTGTGGTCAAATACACTTATCTAACTTTACTGTATTTTAGGAACTGAAGATCTGTGTAATCCAGCCAATTCAGTATATGGTATTTGCCTTATAACCCCCAGATAACCCCCAGACCCAATATTTTAATACATGAAGAATAAATCCAAACTTTACAATTCTACAATGATCCGGTAATGACTGGAAAATGTTTTAATACTGGTTTCAGCATGAAGAAGTAACTCTATATGGATGTAAAACACTTTTGAWCAGTAGCATAGCTCAAATTTTTAAAAAAATATTTTTTTCCTTATTTTGTTATGAATTTGTAATTCTTTGAGTTTTTATGGTGGCCACCAAGTAGATTTTTACACAGAATTTACTGAGAGCTTCAAGATAAATAAAACGTTACGATACAGAATATATGTTTTCTTTCTATTAAATTCCTAGAAGAACATGTTGATTTTAAATAGCGTCTCCATTTAAAGAGGAAGCAGTAAGGAACAGATGAACACTAAATTGTGCTTCTCATCACAAAAGTTCTTCGTTTGTTTAAAATAGCTGGATCATCGACTCTCTTGATTTTCCAACTCCGACCCATTTAACTAGAAAGAAAAACCAAACAGCTATTAGAACAATCACTGAGAGCATGAATCCTAATGAATAGTTGCAATTTTCATCTTTTCATAATGTTTTAATACAAACTGTCCAGTTCTGTGTGGAAACAAAATGCCATGGAAAATTTACTGTCAAATATTACTTTACCCCTGCTGTACTGCCAGATTAGAAGTGCAGCATACTGAAGTTTGATGGCATGGAATAATTATGCATAAACAAAGCATCGCAGATTGAAGGCCTAATAGAAGGTGAGGCACATCTGTTGCGTGTTTAGYTATCATTATCTTGAATGATAGGATGTCTAGCTAAATCCCCGCAGAGAGGAAGCGAGAGCTCTGTCAGACTGTAAAGTTTTCTTGCTGTGGAACTGGAAACAGCAATGTACATGTGCTATAATATTGTTAGAGGCACAGCTTCAATTAAGAACATTATCCTGTGGGAGCAAGCACCCCAAATAATCCATGATTGTGCCAGTGCAGTTTTCATTGGCCATGGATATTATAAAATTGACTGCAGGTTTAGCCACTTTAGCCATCAAACCTCCCAAATCATGCTGGGGTCCCTGCCTTGACACTGAGTAGCACAGAAATAAAATAAAGAAGCTTTGTTTTCATATCCCATCAACCACATCTGTGTCCATGGCCACACATGGGCCATCTGCTGAGTTTCAGGCACTGCTATTATACATTTTCTACCTCATGCACAGCATTGGAATTGCAAGATTTGCAATGAGTTCATACACCCTAACTGCAACTTTTGAGGTGCTTTATGGAAAGTGGAAGTCTACATGMTGGCTTTCTAAACTGCTTTAGTGGAAAATCCCTTCCAACCTCCAGCATTCATACCACACACAACCCCTGATGCCCAAAGGAGCATGTTCCATAGCTGTTTCTATGTGGTGAGGCATCCTCATGCATAAGTACCTGGCACTCCAACGTGGTTTTCCACACATCGGATGTAATTCTGTGCCTTGGCTGGGAGGTCCTCCCATTTTCGGGCACCGGTTGTGTCGGTCTTCCAGCCAGGCATYGTTTCATACTCTACCTCCACCTTCTGTAGTATCTCCTGATTAGCTGTGGAAGAATATTTTGACTAGAGTTGTTATCAGAGGAGAACAGTAATACTTCATCAATTGGTCTGAAGTTCTTACCATCATTTATACAGAATAAGTGAATGGAAAATGCTAATATGCTGATTCAATAATCTTTACAGTAATATTAAAATTCTGCAAATTTCAATGAGAGGTATAGAAAAAAGKTATAGAGAAATGAGAGGTATAGAGAAAAGAATCAAATATAGTTTCAAAAATCTAAGAGTATTTCCTAATGTGTAAAGCTTAAAAGGGGGGAAGAAAGAGAAAAACAAACATAAAGATTTATCAACATACCTGGAAAATATGGAATTCTTTTTCCACCCAATTTGTAAGCAACTCCAATTTTAATCTCATCAAGGACATCAAGAATATCCAGTTTTGTTAATGCCAAACTGTCCGGAAAAACACAGAACAGAGTTACACATGCAATCAATCTTTCTATCATCCTCCTCYTTAATCCTTTCCACCTGTTTTTTCCTAGTTTTATACTCACAAATCCAACTCAGGCAACCCAGCAAGCAGAAATACGCAAATATATTATTAACAATGAYGAACATTGTTAATTGAATTCATGCCTCTGGAATGAATGTGTTACTGAGTCACTAGGATTGATTTCTAAATGCCTGGCTGCTCGTACAGGTGCACAGTGTTCAGTWATAACCCTTTAAAAAGCAAAGTGACCATGTAAAGTGGCGCTTTGGAACTGCTTTGGCTGTATACAATGACATGTCACTTTATTTCACTGCTATTAAATATTCCTGATATTCTTACAGATTTGTATCAGCTATGAGACTGACTTATTTACTAAACTCCATTTTTAAAACCAGACCTTTAAGAACMTTCTGTGTCTTTTGAATGAACATATGGAGATGCAAAAATGGAACATCAAGAAAATATTGTAGCAACCGCTGATCAAAACTGTAGCAAATGCTGATCAAAGTAAAACTGCATTTTAAAACTTGTCAAATTCTCTAGAAACAATATGCTAGACCTTGATTAGTAAAAATGCTAAAAGCTACGGATTTAGCCAGGTATGTACATATATTGTCAATGCTACACTTTTTGCTTAATAAAGGCAGAAGCAATGCAAAGATTAAAATAAAGGGCCTTTGGTAAACAAGCAGTACAGAGCCACTTTTTTCTTGCCTGTTTTCRAAGGACTCATCTCCACTTGTTTTTAATAATATCATAGTTACCAGTTGACACAATTTTATTGATGGAAGTATAGTAATAGAACAGTAACAGAAGGAAACAAATGACTTCCTAATGCTATTTCCACATAAACTACAGCCATTTAAGTCAAAGCAAAGTAAAAAGCTCMATYAAAAAAAATTTAAAAGTCCGAAATAGCACCCAAAGATGTTTTTGTATTTTCTTCTTTCATAAGATTATTAGTAAAAACAATAACAGTTAAGCTGCAACTCATAAGCTAACAAAATGCTCTGGTTCGTATGTTTCTATGTATGAACATGTTTGCCTGAATGTAAGTGTACACCTTGTTTGGACACAGCTTTAATCACTTTTTCAATTTTATCCAAAAAGGCAGCTTATTATTTTTAAATTAACAGCTTATGATAGTTATTCATTTCAGCTCATATCTTTAGCATTAGACAAAAGATAATACAACAAAACATAACATGGCATTATGCACTTAGCCACTTTTTCCTCACAATTTAAAATAGATTTTGAATTATAAAGTAATTTATCTGCCAAGCAAGTTGTGATGTCCTGACTCTTGACCCACTAAAAGCAACTCTTATAATAGAGTGTTAGAATACATCTTTGCAGATAAATGGATCCATCAAGATTGAAATGAAAGCTGGGACATCTCCTGAACACTTTGTATCGTCCCACTTGTTTCACTTCAGGAGCGAGTGTGTGCAAATGGTGCAGAATACAGTTCTGTATATCTGATCCACTAGAGGCAACAGAAACCTAAAATCAGTGCACTTTAAATCCTGATATAAATCAATATGAAAGCACAGGAATATTTACTACAGTAAATAATTTAGTTAAAATTAACCAATATATCGATTCACCCTACATTGGTCATCTGATGTAAGCAAAKTGAAATTATATAAAAAAATCATTATCATGATGTCATTTTACTTGAATTGAAAGAATGTATTAGCAGATAGATATTATCATTAAGACAATTTTCAGTTTCTCGCTGTCAACTATTTTATTACTTAAAATGTAAAACTCTACTGGATTTTCATTAATGTTACCTACATATTTTATTCTGCGAAGCACAAAATAACCAGTTCCAAATGTAGCGCAAAATCTGTGATGCTTACGCAGTGAATCCGTTGATCATATGAGCATATTTCAAAATGACAAGATCTAACCAGCCACAGCGTCTTTTTCTGCCTGTGGTTACTCCCCACTCATGGCCACGGGACTGTAAAAGGTCTCCAATTTCCTGAAAGGTAAAAAAGATGCTAGAGGCATTTCACTAAAAAAGGTAATAACCAAATAGCAGGAAATATCTAGTTGGTCAATTCCTTAAAAAAGTTCTGTTTTTTTTTAAAGGGAGACTTAGTTGGAGAGTAAAGCCTGACCTGAACGAGATTCTTCTATCTCAGTCAAAACTTACATATAGTCGGTCACTGTCTTTGCAGATCTTTATTTAATTTGTCTGCTTCATGTTCCAGAAAGAGTCTTTCTCTATTTTCTATCTGATAGGAAGATTTCCTTGATAATTCAGCCCTGTTTTTAATTATAAGAGTTTGTGTTTAACTTGTTTGTCTTTTGGCATCTATTGTTTTGGGGGTTAGACTGTAAACTCTTGGGACAAGATCAATGTCCATGGCTAGAACTCCTACATACTCTCACAGCATGGGAGTGCCAACTGTTCCCTTTGGGCTGGCAACTTTTGTAGTGCAGAAAGAGTTAAGGAAAAATAAATACTACTCATAAGATTCATGAAATAGAAAAATATTACCAATCCTTCTGTTGCCGTTAGAAAATGGGTTTTGGTTACTACATCCTTTAATCAGATTCAGATCAGTGGCCAGTGACCAGAAGAATTCTGTGTGCATAGCTCATAATCAGTATCTTGAGCTTGCTAGTATCTTGATAATGAAAATACAATATACAGTTTAAAAGAATCAAAATCTCCCCCTCCTCCTTTTATTGACCAATTTGTGCATGATTGGTCTGATGTAKAGACCAAACTTGTTCTATAAATCACTTGGAATATAGACTGTTAAGCACAGAACTGTATCATGTAATTTAAGCTTTCCTAAGACAAGGTTCTGCCACTGATATGCACTTGAAATAAATACAGCCTGTAATATAACTGATGTCCCTCCTTTGAATATAAACGTCTTACGTTTATCAGGTAATTCTACAGTCTTCATGAGTGACATTTTCTGGCCTTGCTATGATACTTATTTGTTAGTGGGAAACCCTTACCCTGTTATTAAAGCATCCTATTCGATTGACCTTATTTCTTGGCGACTATATCCACTGTGTTTTGTAACATTAAACTTACATTAATCTGTTCAGTGGGGAAKGCCCCAATTCCCACCCTCGTAGTGTAGGCCTTCACCACGCCGTACACGTCGCCGATATGCTGGGGAGGAACTCCAAGCCCCGTGCAGACACCACCGATGGTGCAGTTTGATGAAGTCACGAAGGGATACGTGCCTGTCAGGAAAGCAAAACAGCACAGCTGTGTTTCAGCAACGAAGGAAACCAAGACTGACTTTCATTTATCACTTCATAGGAGATTTTCTGCTGTATGCTTTGCAAGGAGGAGCTCAAATAAACTTAAAAAGCAGCAGAAGAGCAAGGTAAATTCTGCTTATTACACACTCCAGTTCTGCTTTCAAGAGAACAAACGGAGCTGTTCTTCTCCCACTTGCCTTCTCCTGTAACAACTTACATGTATTTATATTTCTGTAAATCCACTGAATTATCCTCAAAATGAAGCACTTTTCCACACAAAGCATGAACTTACCACTGCATTTTCTATAAGTATATTTTTTTGTGATCAAGAAGTTTACTCAGTCAAAGAAGAAAAAAACTACTTTGTGCACTTATGGTAGTAATTTCCTCCAACCTGGCATAATCTTTTCTGAATTCATCCTTTGCAGTTCTTTCTGAGGGCTGCCCGTAATGGTCAAATTTAAAAGGATCTCAATATTATTTTTATTGGAACTCAATTTGGATGCTGCTGCTGTGTAAAGCTTTTTGTCACAACTATCACAGAAATTACAGCAGCAACAGCCACAGACAGCCTGGCATAAAGGTCACAATTTGACAGTCCCTATACTCTTTATATTCTTTCAATACCTGCAGCTAATATCTGGCTTCCTTGGAGCACTCTCCCAGGTCTTTATTCCATCTTCATGGAGACCTGATGGCTTAAATTAGACTTTTGGTAAGACAGCAGAGGTCAACTGAAGAAGGTCCATAGGCYACTTGCTTGTGGGTTTAATCCCCAAAGATGTGCACATGCACATGCAGAATTGCTGCTCAGCAGCCCTGCAATGGGTGCTTGCTCTSTGTGAACACTACTCTGTATGCAATAAAGACAGCATCTAGAGGGAAATTTCAATCTCATTGGTACAAACTTCAGTAAGATCAACATTAAAATGCTTAGTCCTGCTTAGTCCTTAGTATAATCTCTGTGCTTTACTTTTGGGAGATCCACTTCCATTAAACATTATTTTTTGTCTCTATTTTCCTACAGTTTCCAAAGAGGATATAAAGGCAAAGCGGAATATAACTAATCTTCTAGGAATGTAAGGAACTTCACAGTTTAACTTACCAAAGTCAATATCCAGCAATGCTGCATTGGCTCCTTCCACAAGAATTTTCTTTGGAGCACCGTGAAGAGCTTCATACATGAAATAGACGCCATCTCGAACCATGGGTCTTATTTTTTCAGCATACCCCTGCAAATTTGAGTATAAATGTCAGCTTCCCCACATAATGCCAGCTGAATGGCTAGAAGCAGAGAACATTGTGATCACTTTTGAAATAAGGAACATGCAGATAACCTTAATATGCCRGCTTCAGTAACCCTATTTTGTCTGAAAAATAAAACAATAAGCTTATATTCCACTAAAAATCAAATGAATGTATCCAATCACATAGAACACAGGACTTGTTATTAGAATGTCATAATTTCTGTACCATGACTATCCACAGAGATGATGTGCAGCTCATTTAGTCTATTGACTATAGCCTAGACATACTAGGGCATATATATATATATATATATATATATGAGACTAGGACTTAGAAACAAGAAGAAAAGAATTCTCCAGAAGAAAATAATTACTACGTCCAGATATTAAAAAGTATCTTTAAACCAGAATAACAACTCTGCACAAGTTCCAGACAGTCCTTGTGAAAGAGATCATTTTTAGCATAGGCTTTTCTTATATATTATGAAGATGCCTTACTTATTTACGAGAAGCTATTTTTATAAAGCCATCTCTTTATAGCACAGCTTCCAAAAGCAATTCCTCAGTAAATTCAGACAGCTAAGAATTCAGTCATGGTTTGAATGCAGGTGTCACTTTGGATTCTCTTTAGTACCTTAATACAACACAGGTTGAAAAAGTAAAACACTCCATGTGATTAATAATCCTATCAAGCATTTTATCTATTTAATGCCCATATTAAGATAATATTCTACTAAAAACCATATCTACTGCTTTAAAAAGGTCCTGTAATAATGGCAATACGTATTCTCTTAGCATATGCAATTTTTTAAAAACATCTATTAATTATTAAAATACGAAATAGTTTCTTCTGTGTACATTTTTCAATTAAAAGAAATATTTTTTTCCTATATACTTTTCCTGACACTGAACAAACAYTACAAATAGGATTTTACCTTTAGCTTTTTCAACTGTCCTTCTACATCCACTTCCAGCGTGGGAAACATTGACTTGTACTGCTGTGCCAGATTTTTGAATCTATAAAACATCAAAATGATGTTTATGAAGAACATAAGTCCCTGGATTTGGCAATAACTCAGTTCATATTACACAGTGTAGATACCAACAACTATAAAGAGAAAGCACACAGAACTTTGATACCTCGACCAGAGCATTTCCCAATGTGCAAAAAATCATTTTAAATGATGATAAACYATATCAAGTAGAGCAAATATCCCACATGCTTTCCAATTTTCCTCTCCTTCTAAAAGATCTATACATGAAATTCTTACACAAACTTAAAAACATCTCCTTAGAAAGCAAACTCAAAACGCATCACTAATTAATATAATATTTCGTAAAAAYAGCTGTACCTTGAAGAAAATTCATCAAAGTCAGAAAGGAGGTCACAAATTCGAAGACCTGTTCGTGCAGCTTTGGTAGAATATGTTGGTCCAATACCTTTCTTTGTTGTGCCAATGCTAAATAAAAAGAAGCCCCAATAAATAAACAAACATATGCAAAAATATGCTTTATGCCAAGTAATTTTATTAAAGCCCTTCAATCTGCTAATTATTGGGTAGGATTTATGATGAATTAAAAAAAACCTAAAGCTTTATATTTTTGTTAACAAATACACATCAGTTTTTACGCTTCAGCAGCTTTGCATAAATATTGCTAATATTCATGGTATTCATAGTATTAGCCTTGGGTTAGGTTGAGACAAGCTTAATTGAGAGTGTGGATATACATATTTTATATAGTAATAGACATTACTATGCTATCTTGTAGTACTTCTGTGTCTTTCATAAAAAACAACAGGAAGCAAACATAATTCCCATGTTTTCACAGTTGCAGTACTATGTAAAATTGTAAATAATAAACAGTTTTGTGAGTGATGAAATAGATGAAACAGGGTTCCCTATAGCTTTGAATCTTACAAAACAGTCCTTATTTTTGTTTATTATAATGCAAAATGCAATTTAAGTTTTTTATCSTACTTCTCTATCCCTATATGCTCTTACAGTAGCTTTTTATCTTAATGAAGATAAAAATGGAGCTCTTTTTGGAACATAGTCAATCTGAGATGTCTAATTATCTTAAATTTGGTTGAAATTGTCCAACAAATTGTCCTATCAAAAATGATAGGAAACTAATAGAGAGTAGACACATGTGTTGACATACTCCTTTGCCTYTTCAGAAGGCATAATAATAAAATATGCTAAGTTACACAGTGTGCTAATATATAACATTTAAACTGAGATAGAAGCTAGCATGCCAATGAAAAGTAAATGAATATGCAATAAATTGCAACCAGTACAGAACCTAATCTTGCCAACACTTMAGGCACACTTCAGGAAAGCATCACTGTTCCGATACCAAACTGAGTTGGAAGCATTGTTTTATTGGAAATTAAATTTGAGGATTTAATAGGAATTTCAAGATGCCTGTGTGGCACAGAGAATAGGAAAATGGAAATATTGAGGAATTCTGATCCTGCCTTCGGAAATACCTCAACAGTTTGTTCAGTAATATGAGCAGGAGCAAGGAAAAAAAAAAGCCAGAACAGGATTAATAACAGCAAGCCTTTTTACAAATGTTTAATATTTCTSTTTTCCAAAGTAATGCCAATTTTTCAAATTTGCATAGTTATTAATGAAATGAAGATGCTGAAAATATTTACTTTTTTCCTTCTTGTGCTTGACGTTGTACTTCTTGGAGCCCATCTACYGCCTGGTGAAAGTCAAACACTGCAGCAGAAAACCCGAACGACACAATGGGAGACCAAAGGAGAAAAGAGAGAAACATTCTTCTTGAAATCACAGACATTTATAATTTCATGTCAAAAAGCACAGCTTTTGGTATTGTTGATACRGCATGAGCCTTCTCATGCTATACCAACTCATGTGATTTAGTGCAGCTTAAAGCTCTATGAACACTTGCAAAACATCATTCTTTAGAGAGCACAAATTCCAGCATGTTTCAGGTACATGACTCAGAAAGAAACCCTAGAAGGTCAAACATACAATTAGAGGATAATGTCATTTAGCAGCATGAGCTAAACGYCATTGTGACGTTTCTTCTCCCTTCAATCATCACTTACCTATATGGGCTCTATCTGATATAATAAGTCTTTTCTCCCAATCTTTTAAACCTGTCAGAAGAAATAAAGAAATGTGTTCTAGTTTCATCTGGCTGGTCAGACTTGAAGATCTATTTATTTAGTTATTTAATTAAATATCTTTTCTCTCATTTCTGAAACTTCTTTTAAGAATAGTGTAGACAAAATGGATAAAACAGGTGAATATCAAAGTTTGACAATATTTTTGTTAACAAGCTTTTCATTTATATTGTTTTCAGCTTTCTCCGTTTGTTATGGACAAAGATATTCAGTTTTCCTTTAGTGACAGAATGCAATGCTTCACATACATATCTTATAAACTGAGTAAGAATAATATCTTTTTAAGGAATTACGATCCCTGCTTAACTACTAATGTGATAAACAACTTAAGGTCTGCTTGTATGTCAGAAAGTATAGCATTTACATATAGAAACACAGAATAATTTAAGTTGTAAGTGACATCAGCAGGTTATCTGATCTTGCTCAAAGCAAGGTTAACAGAGTTTATCTTTGGGCACAGAAACYGGGACAAAAAACCTCTGGGTTAAATTGTCATCAAGAGAAGCCCTGCTATAAACTTCAGCATTTTCTCTTCTACCTAATGTGGCATCAAACACCATAAAATGCATAAAATTCCAGGAAAAAAATTGTTTTTGAAAATCTGACAGCTAAAAAACAACTCAATATTTTTAATATCTCATTAAAAAAAAAAAAAAGATTTCTTCATTATTTGAAAACCAGAATGCCCAGGTTTAGGGTCAGAAGCCCAGGCTTAAAAAGAATCTCAAATAAGATGCCATTGTAAAGAAAAGTTAAAAATTACTCGATACAAACCTTTCTTTTCATTCTTTTCAGCTTCTTCAAACAGGCCTGGTAAATGTATAACCACCCCATTACCTTTGGGAACATAAATGATTCATTTAAAGCAAGAAGTAAAAGACACATTCTTAGCACGTAATGCATTTAAATAATTACTGTCTGAAATCTTACTAAAATTTTTAAGACTTTCTCACATTTTGCATGATGTGCTCTTGAGAAAATGTTCATTTGGGGTAAATAGCTACAAGTCTGCTGAAATCCAAAATACAGAACTCATTTATTTCAGATTTGAGCGTAGGGCCTGCTTCAGAGTTAGCTGAAGTAAGTGGATTCTTTTATTTAATCGTGGTGAACTTYGCACCAGGCCTTTAGTCTCAACAACTCACTGGTGAAAGCTCAAAGAAATCCCTCACAACACTAGCAAGTCTGATTTATAATMTTTAAATTTTCTTCTGTATTCATCTATTTTTTAAACTCAGCTCAAAACTGTGCTGTCATACATCAGCAGTGCTTCCTCCCTCCTACTGAGCTGCAATTTAAAATCCACAAGGAATACACAGCACACTGATGAGATGTGCAAGATTAGATGGAGTGGGCTGAACACTGCTGCTGCTTCCTCCTCAGGAACATCAGAAATACCCACGACAGTTTCTCTCAGCCCAAATATAAGATAACTTACTTGGATTCTAACTGACAGGAGACTAAACTAGAAAGCAAGACAATACACAATATTTATCAGAAAAAAATCAACATTGTTTCATATATCTCAATCATCTACTCAGAAATTTTTAAATAGAATGAAGTAAAACTAGAGCTTCAAGACTCAGGAAAACTTATATTCATTTCTTGTATATTCTGTATATATTTTTTCTTTCAGAAAGTATCCTAATTTTGAACAAGCATAACATTTCAGTCTGCCTATCACTTAAAATATACTCTTAATGCCCAATGCCATATTATTAAGCTCAGTTACATAATTAGGTCAAGAGAACAGARATTATTGAAACACCAAAGGAATTTCTTTGGAGAGAAATAGAGTTACCCAATTTASGGTAAAATCTATGCATCTATTTTAGACAGGCCTTGTGCAAGGTACAGTTTAATAGAGATAAATGTTATTATTAAAATGACACTAAATGTAGAATAACTCTTCATTTTAAAGCAGTGAAATAAAAGTCAAACAGCTGGAGCTGAAGTAAATCCTACTGACAATCACCTGCAAGTTTTCCTTCACATTCTACTGCAGTTGCAGCTACCCACCACATTATTTCCTCTAGTAATATAGAAAGTGTCTTACCAATAAAAGAAATTGCCTTTGGATTAATTATGCCACTAGGAAATAAGTGGAAATCGTATTCTTTCCCGTCAACAACCACAGTGTGGCCTGCATTATTCCCACCCTGCAACAGAAAGAAACACAAGATTAACAGTTTTATACCACTGCCCTAACTCTTTGCAAATGATTTGGTGAGGTAATCTTTTTTMTTTATGCTTTCAAATCTTAGGTCATTGGTTTTTTCCACATTATTATAGTTTCTTGATAGCATTACAAAAAGGAGTTTAGACAGGACAGCTATAAGGCTCGAAGATTTCAGCAGCTCTGTATAGGACTAGAAAGTAAGTTAGGAGAACAAAGTTAAGCAGGACTGAGGCAGAGTGGAGGCAGAATGGCAAAGGGAACTAAAAAAAGAACTTTAAAAGTGTTCCTGAAGGAAAACTTAGCATAGCAATGCCTCACATGCCTACAGAAAGCCATACTTTTTGAATGTCTTCTGTCACTGTGATGTCTTTGGGGTTAAGCCTCCAACACCCAATACTTTCCTCTGAATGAATGCTCTTCCTGCCCACCCACAAAATGGTTAATGCTTCTCTGGGTCTTCCATGTGTAAAATTGTGATCATGGGTAGCCTTTGAAGAATACTCCAGTCAACGAAGGAAGCAATGGAGGCAACAACAAAAATTCAACAACTTCTACAGCCTGATGGAATTCACGCCATGTATGATCATCTACGAAATCTATGAGTGGAGCTGGTATTCTCTCAAGAAAATGATCTTTCCAAAAGGTCTTTAAGAGAGGATGCTGAGACAAAAGGCAAACTCATAGAGAACTAAATAAATCTAGGTTATGAATTGACTGAAACTAGAACAGCAAAGAAGCTTAAAAATTAAAAGTCCASTTTTCTATATGTAGGTGTTTTGTAGTCATACCACTTTGTCTTCTAATGGTAAGGCTGGAAAACCCTAACTCAAATCTGTTACTTGCCTTGGTGTTACTAGCCTTCTGTTTTCCAAAAAGAATTATGAATCTTAGTGAATTTGATATGAAGTCTGAATGATGTAGATGTGCCTGGAATGGTGGAATCTACTGAAGCAAGAACTGAGAGGGTGACAGGAAATGGTCATCTGCAAAGAAAAAGCTTTAGCTGGATGAGCAGAGTTCTTATAAGCAAACTCTGAGAGAAAGGATACCCAGCCATCATGCTTTATGCTGTAATTACAGCATAAATTCAAAAGAATTTGCCCTGAAGAAATTCAAAAGTTGTGATATACCAGGGTGTAAGTGTTTATAAGAGACAGTTTATGATTCCTAAATGTTTCTTGAACAATTCAAGTCCAAATAAACTGTCCCTTGTTTTAGCAAATCCTTAAAAGGGAGCATTAATTTTAAATCCTTAATTTGAAAATCCTTAATTTGCCAGCATTGAAAGCTGGCATATATTATATTAAAAAATAAAACAAAAAATTGAGCACAAATATCAGGCAGCTATCACGCAGCCTCTGATTGYTAAAATCTTAAAATAACATTCAGCCCTGCTGGATAGATAATATAAAGCAAGAATATTGGTGGCAGCAGGATATGTAATGCAATAGAAGTTAAATGCATTACTTCAATATATTCTGTCTCCGGAATCTTTACTGTTTTATGCCACTACAAGTCATATCTCCCATCTGAAAACCAGAGGGCTGCCAGCAATATGGTCTTAATTCATTAATGCAAGATGTCTGTCATATTCCAGGTTGGAAAATCAGCTTCACGGAAAGTTAACAAAGATGTAACGTTCTGTTTTTATGAGTTAAGTAACAGGAAATAATTAGGCATTATTTTCAGAAAAGAATAATTCCCTACGGAGAGGGTTTTTTTTTTTTTAAAAAAAAAAAAAAGGAACGTAAATATTTTATTAAATTCAATGGATTTCTTCAGAAGATTAGATTGTATTTTTGGACTTTTCCTCTAATAATCACAAAGAGTATAAAGCTACACATGGTGCTGGTGTAAAGAGTTAAAGGAAATAGTTACCACATTAAACATTGTAACTTCTCTTTTAGTATAGTGGTTTATTTATAACACACTTTTCCACCGTGAAAACCTTTCAGTGAAAATTGATCCTTGCATCTCAAAGCTCAAAGCTTGTATGTGGACACAAGCACTGTGTCAGTACAACACATTGAGAAGCTATCACATCTTATATCTGCATATAGTTAAACACATATAAACATCTAGCAAAAAARCAATACTTATTATGAATAATTTGGCAGAGAGGAACATAAAGGGTGTTTAAAGCACTAGCAAAAAGCACCACATCACAATGCAACAAATAGTGACTTCAAAGGTGGTGTTTCATTATGTTATTATATATATACATATATACACAGACACTTTTTTTTTTTATATTCTTTAAAGGCAAAATATTCTGAGTCAGAAACAAAGAATTTCCATTCAGAGCCATAAAGACCTTGCTCAGTACAGGAAGCACTTGCCCCCATTTGCCCTCATGCTGCACATGTCTGAGCAGGGTGAACTCTGTCCTGATGCTCAGRCACATCTCCGCCTGCTCCAGACAGCCAGGCCAAGAGAATAGAGYTCTCACTCTCTGCTAGCTCACAGCGTTAATCAACGTCACAGGAAGAAACAGAAACTCATCACTGAAGATCCGCAGTGCCAAATATTGCTTGAGTGGTAAACCATCAATATGCAACAATCTGAGCTCCACAATCAATAGCTATTGGCAAAAAAAAAAAAAATAAAATAAAAAAAAAAATCATAATTTGCTAGGACATTTTAAATAACTTAGAAAGGTAGACCAGATTCTGGATGGGCCACTCTATATGCTAGAAGGTATATGGAGGTGGCTCAACAGTTACACTGCACTGGCTTATATGCCTAATTTAATCTTTGTACGTATAAATGGGAATATTCAGTAGGAGTAGAGGGATCCTGTTACTTCTCCTTTTGGCAGTGGTGCAGCTGTTACTGGAATACCGTGTCCTTGGTAGTCGGACAGGATTACAGAATGATCCTTGTGGTATTATAATCTGTAGGTCTATAATCTATGATTTAGAATGGAAGCTACAACGTAACAGCAGAGAATTGTTGCTGGAGAATTCTAGATCTGAAAACACAATCTGTGATTCACGACAACCTCTTTTACTGATATGTACCACAACACTGCTAATTCTGCCAAAGTAGTTTGGGGCAAACGCTTTGTATTACACTATGAGGGACACCATCAAACACTTCCACGTTATCTGTATTGAGACTTTTTCCTGCATTTATAGAATTCCATACTTGATTCTGACTAGAGAAGAACCATAAAAAAWGTTCTCTTCTTTGTTCTTTTGCTTTACAATTTAAGTTATGGCTACTTATAATTTGTATTGTAATTTCCTGGAGTGGATTTGAATAAATGTACCAGCTTTTACGTGAATTTTAGAATGTGCAAATCTATTATTTTGCTGGTAAGTCTGTTTAGACTGACACTGTTTTGTTTTAAAAACAACACACAACAACACAGACTGATATAATGCATTAGGTGCATTGAACATTCAGAGTCTTACAAAAAACCCCATGCTTATGAAAGCTTTTCTAAGCAGCCTGGAAGGGCAGTAGGTCCAGGCTGAGAAGTTGCTGCTCCAGGCACTTGCTCTAAATCCTTTTGCTAGAAGCTTACCTTATTTCTTAGCTAATTTCTTCCAGCTTAAACATGACCCATAGTCTCCAAAGCAGCCCAAAGAAACACCTTTCTTTTTTTTTTTTTTTTTTTTTTTTTTTAAATCACTGCAGAGAGCTGGGTTTGGAAATAAGCAGAAATATACTTAGACTAGTCTATTTCTACTAGTCTACTAGACTACTCCAGTGGGTTTTAGAACTACAGTAGTGACAAGGAACTGGAGCAAGTTGCAAGCATTTACCTCCTGGCACAACTAGCCAAGTCTCTAGGGTTGGATTTGCAATATTAGTTCTGAATAGGAACARTGCTTACATAGCAGATATACCTGATTCTCATATCTGGCATGTCCCTTCTCACTGTCTAATAAAACTAATAGAATTCACCTTACTAATTACATGACTGATCTCTTCAGAAGCTCCTAATTCCCATGAAAAGAGACCTTCTGCAGCCTGGTAAGGTTATTACTATGATTATAAATAAAAGTACTCTCCAAAAGAGCTAAGCAAAGTCTTTGACCTTTTAAAGAAATATGCAAAATATTTCTAATGCAAAAACCCAGACAGTAGGTCAGACATATTTTGCACTAAATATGTAATATTATTAAAAATGAAAGTGGATTCTAACATCTAGACAGACGTAGAATTTTATAAATAACTGAAAAACAAACTCTAATTCCACTCTGGTTCTAAAGGGCAGTCCATATGGCGGACTGGCCACTCCTAACCTTCAGCTATACCCCATCAAACTAAATGCAAGTTTTTCATCAAATCATGTAAAAAATCTACTATAAAGACCACTACAACAATAAAATACACCTTGAACTCTAGCAGATCATTTCAAGAAAGTAATTAATTCAAAGTACTTCAAGATACAGAATACTTCATTGGATAAAACTTTCTGATTAAGCTTAGCAGAATCCCTACAATAAAGGAATAAAATCCCTACTATAGGCAGCCTATAGATGTCAGCTCATCTTTAGTCGTCTCTTTTGAAGAAGTGCAGTCATGTCCCTGTGGGAAGTAACATGATCCAAGGATAGGATCATAACTTTTCTTACATCTGTAAACAAGTTTGTGACAAACAAGTTAGCTTGCAAGTTACAGCAGGAATGAAACAGATGTCACTTGATCTTAATATTCAGCTGTTTTGATGCTTATGTAGGTTAATGAATTCATCAGRTTTTATAAAGGGGATTGGAAGTTAAGCTTGCTTTCTTATAGAAATTTTGAAACTTTACACCTGACCTTCTCATACAGTATTTATAATCCTGGTGGCCCTGAGATATCTTGCTGATACTCAGAGGAGAGGCCAGTTTAAAATAGCAATCAGTGTCACCCTGTGCCTCTAAAGCCTTAAATGATACAGTGCAGCATGTAAGGATGTCTGAGCAAAATGTAAGATATTTCACCCTACATTTTATTTTCAAGTGAGAGATTGCTACTAAAGGGTTTTGAATACAAAGGGGTGGATTTCTTTATTGTAACTAAAGAAAAATTTACTTTTGCATAACAAATCATGTCCCTTCTGCTTTGAATGAACAAATAAAGCCTATTGCCTTATCTATAGGGAGGCTTGCAAAAATGCTTACAGAGCAACATGTCTCTATGAATATATGTGTGTGTGCAAACGAGATTACTGCAAGAAAGCATTGCAGAAGAACAAAACCAACAGTTCTATGGTCACTGCACACTGATGACTCCAAGGCCAACCTCGCAGTGAGGACCATAGCACTAAATGATTGGGAAATGAAAGTGTTGATAGGAGTAGGAAAAGTTATACTGAACTTTATGGCTAAATCTCCGCTCAGGGAGAAGAGAACGTGATACATATGCAGCCACACACAAAAAACCCAGCAGCCTCCAGCCCTCGGCAGCTCTGCACACTCAGCACAGAAAACTGCCCTCGTTTAATCCCAGTTGCAAACAGTGCCAATAGCTCAAGATCAATAGGGCCAGCCACAACAGCATGTGCCTGCGTTGCCCTCCTACATCAGCTGTATAATGGAAGCATAAAGGCAGCATTCCCACCTCCTGTCTTCAGAGGACATAATTCTCTTGCTGGTATTTCTGCCATGCTTCATTTTCATGGTTTGATCACCTGCCCACTGCATATTCCTTCACAGTGCTCAAAGTAGCATTTTTTCTAGTATCTATTGTATTTATTACAAAATCTTTATGAAATTAAATCAAAGAAATCACTGTTGTGTGCTACTGCCAGTTTCCTTATCAATAGTTTAAGAGTTTGGCACATCCTTTCTTCTTTGCTAGATTGTTCTTAAGCTTTACAATTATGTTTCAAGATTGTTCTTAAGCTTTACAAAATGCAAAAGTTGATTAGGCTTTTCTTACCGACTGACCTTTCTTAATCTTATTTACCAACATCAACGTCATTGATAAAATTGGTCACTCAACATTGTTGGTACAATGATTTCATTAAATCTCCCCTGCCCAAATGACTGCAAACTACGCAAGCACAAGTCATCTTAATAAAAGCATTTTTCTGCTCCCCATTTCAATCACCTCAGCTTTCCTGCAGTATTAACACCAATTATTTTGTTCTTCTATCTCTAAAAGACAGAGATCTTTGATCTCTATATAATTGACACCATTCCTAATTTGAAAGCAGACTCCCTTGGTTGCAAACATTTTCAAATATCCGCTCTATATTTAGGGGAAAATAAAATCACATTGTCATATGTTTGTTAAGCCATAAAGACCTCCTCCAGYTTCTCATCTAACAGCTATTGTTATTGCAATCACAATCTTTTAATTTGGCCTTTCCTCGTCAATGCCAGTTCCTAAGAGAATGCTGATAATATCAGGCGGATTGTTTCCAGAAGCTCCGGGTCACGGGTGCCACACATCTAGCGCTGGCATAAGCAGCACTGGAACAGCAGTGCMAAACCAAGGCTCGAAATTTTTAAAACTCTCTTGGACTAGACCACTGCTGCTGAATCACTGTTACTACTTTCAGCATGAAATGAAGGCAAGACACGAGTTTGTGCTGCAATGATTTGTAAAACCATAACTGAAATCAAATTCACCACCTACAACTCTGATTAGCACAGGGTCTCTACTAAGACTTTGGCAGCAATATCTTTTTTTTTTTTTTTTTTTTTTTAAATATATACCTTATACTCTGAGCTTTTGGAGAAAATGTTTTCTTGAAGAGATTTTCTGCATAAGAGAACTTTATGAGAAAGGGCAGAATTGCTTATGCTATTTACCCTTTATTACAACAGGAACTCTTAGGCATTCTTGCCACACACCATATTGTAAAGCAGAGTATCTCAAGTCTTCTCCCACTCTTTGCAAGGGTGCATAACACTTCTCATACCATTGATGACAGCACATATTCCCTCTCTCATTCATGTCCATACAAAAAGGCGTACAGCAAATATCTGCAGTGGAAAACTAAGAATGTGCTCTATGCAGTTCCAGCTTCTCTCACAGAAACAGGTAGAACTGACCAACCAGGTATATTCAGTTACCTGTATGTTAAGCTACTGTATCAGTTCTGTGTATGACTTTTTAGGGTACAGATAAGGTTTAAGWGGTGTCTCTGGAGATCCATCATCCTCGTTATGCTCTAAAGCAGACCTGTTATCTGCTTTATYCAGTCAGAAAACACAACTTGCTGCAAGCTCTTGTCTTGGAGGTAGACACACAAGAAACCTCCGACAAATGGCAATGAAGTGGCAAAAGACAGGCTGGAAGGAGAACTGCCACTGAAGAAACCATTTTCTGAAGTCACATTTTGATCTAGATCAAACCTCTCCACTAATTTGATTCTATGTGACCAAGTTATTTAAACTTTGTGACCAAGTTATTTAAACTTATATGCCTACTTCTTGTTTTACAGATATATGATAGGAGACGAAAAAAGTCAGTTTCCCTCTCTCTGATATCTAATCAATTAAAAGTCTTACACAAGCAGACTTCTCTATATTTAAACATCTGCAGGTAAACTCTGATTGTATCCTTGCCTGAAAACACAGAAGGGATTTAAAATATTGCAAAGAACTGATGCAACAGTTCTATGCCCCAAAAAGYCACCATATGGAAGAAATATTTACCTTCCCTCTTTATTTCTCTTTTTTTAAATACTTTTCCTTAGAGAAAGTAAAATTTAGAGGGGAAAKGTTTTGGTTGCTCTCCAGTAATAACCCAACTTGAAAAAACATTGGCAGTTACCTAACTGCCCTAAGCAGTCTGCAGTCATTCATCCATTGAAAAGAACCTTTTCTCATGGCTTATTTGAGTATGTGTGCCCACGTTATCTGCTATTTTAATCAAAGCAGTCCTTATTGAAATAACATTTTTACAATGTCCTGATATTCCTGCTATGTTGAAGGGATAAAAGGGATTTTAATACTTATTGCCAAAGGTAAAAAAAAAARGTATATATAAAGTCAAAATTAATTAGATCAAAAAGTTTTATTTGACTATGGCTATTTAATGTAAGCAAGAAGTTTTTATAGTACATTATTAAAGCGGCATATTTTTAGAAAGCATCCTTTAAATCACCAAGTGCACAAGAAAGGAACTGAAATATTCAAAAACAAGGTGATTTTTCATGTAAACTGTGTAACTTCTGTCACTCAAAAACAGCTCTTTTTTTTGCATTTCCTTTTCCAAATGTTTCATATTCTTCTCTAAACTCTAATCCTCAAAACATTTCTGTTAAGTCAATGCATTAATAGTCCTCCTGTGATCTCAGATGCACATTCTAGGTGCAGGTGATGGAGTGTTTCCGAACATTGTTTGAGGAGCCCAGGGTCTTCCAGACCCACCTGCGTCCACCTGTCCCAGGTCTCAGGAGCAGGCTCCAGAAAGCTGATCTAGATGCAGGTGACACCGCATTAGGGCACCAAATGCCATACCAACAGCACCACGTTGTCCATGCTCAGGCACACACAGTCCTTATCCTTCCAGGAGTATCTGGGGCTGTACCTGGGCACCGTGTTGTAAATTAACTCTATGGACAACAAGTTTAATCTTGAGAGCAACCTCAGGGCATCCCTCAAAAGGTAGTCTATGAGGAACCACAGTGACTACTTGTAGCACTACCCTTAAACCCCTTTGGGGACATTTGTATGATTGCAGCCCTATTGAAGTGTTTCTTCACAGCTTAAAACTTCAATTTTCCCCCTCTCCCACTCTTCTTTTCCCTGTCCATTTTTTTTTTTTTTGTCCAGAGTGATCATAAGACCTTAAACTCCTCGCAAAATAATAATAAAAATCTACAGCCCCAATACTACATATTCATTAGCCAACACTCGCATGAAAGCCTCTCCCCAAGGTGACTTCACGATCTGGGAAGTTCAGCGTTCCACCCCACAGCGCTTCCTCCRCACTCCAAACGCTTGCGCCACATTTATTTACATAATATACTTAATTACACAAACGTCCTTGGCTGTTTCCTCTCCGGGATTCAAGGCTATCCGGGGCTTTCCTGGTAGCACTTTAGATAAATACCAATAAAAACAAGTTTCCCAGGCCGTACTGAGGCGGCTGGGGTTAAGGGAGCCCGCTTGGGGCCGGGCCGGGTCGGGTCGGGCCTCGCTGCCATTTGACACCTGCTGCCGGCGCCCCCCGGCCCGGTGCGGGATCCGGTGTCGCTCCTCGTGAGGGGTCAGCTATTTATATTTATAGTTCAGGCCTTTTTCTTCCTTTCTTTTTTTTTTTTTTTTTTTTTTCTTTCCGAGTGGCCTTTAACGTGGGGAGGGAGGGGGGAAGGGAGCGGGGGGCACAGGCTCTGCCGTGGGGCGCATTGGCACCGCACATTCCGGGGGACAGGGGGGAAAGAGGGAGCCGGGCAGAGGAGAAAATAAAATAAACAAGAGCAAGGGGAGCGGGAAGCGGGGAGCGAGGCGGCGCGCAGGAGGAGGGAAGGGCAGCGCCGAGGGGAARGAGGCGGAGTGGGCGCAGGGCTGCGGGCGGACGGGGCTGCAAGGAGCGGCAGGGGAAAGCGCAGAAGCGGCGCCCGCGGGCGGGCGGCACCCACCTGGCACCGGCACACAATGTCCGACTCGGTGGCCAGCAGGTCGACCACCTTGCCCTTGCCTTCGTCCCCCCACTGCGCGCCCAGCACCACGGTCACTTTGTTCCCGCCCGGCTCGCTGCGCGCCCGCTTGAGGCCGGCGGCGGCGGCGGGGGCGGCGGCCGCGTGGCCGCTGCGGTCGTTGGACGCGCGGGTGCCCGACATGGTGCCGCCGGGAGCGCTGGAGCCGTCGCCTCGCGCGCTGCCTGGCCCAGCCCCGCGCCCGCCGCCGCCGCCCTTTAACGGCGCCCGCCCCGCCGCGCTGACGGGCGGGCCCGGCCGCCCCGCCGGGCGCGGGACCGGCTGCGGCACCGTCACACACACACACACACACACACACACACACGGGCTGTGGCACTGTCACACACACACATGGGCTGTGTCACTGTCACACACACACACACACGGGCTGTGTCACTGTCACCCACACACACGGGCTGTGGCACTGTCACACACACACGGGATGTGGCACTGTCACCCACACACATGGGCTGTGTCACTGTCACACACACACATGGGCTGTGTCACTGTCACACACACACGATGTGTCACTGTCACACACACACACACAGGCTGTGTCACTGTCACACACACGGGCTGGTCACTGTCACACACACACACACACACACACAGGATGTGGCACTGTCACACACACGGGCTGGTCACTGTCACACACACACACACGGGATGTGTCACTGTCACACACACATGGGCTGGTCACTGTCACACACACATATGGGCTGTGTCACTGTCACACACACGGGATGTGTCACTGTCACACACACACATGGGCTGTGTCACTGTCACACACACACGGGCTGGTCACTGTCACACACACACACGGGATGTGTCACTGTCACACACACATGGGCTGTGTCACTGTCACACACACACGGGATGTGGCACTGTCACACACACACACACAGAATGTGGCACTGTCACACACACACATGGGCTGTGTCACTGTCACACACACAGGGGATGTGGCACTGTCACACACACACGGGCTGTGTCACTGTCACACACACACACGGGATGTGGCACTGTCACACACACACGAGCTGTGTCACCGTCACGCACATGGGCTGTGGCACTGTCACACACACACAGGCTGTGTTACTGTCACACACACATATGATCTGTGTCACTGTCACACACACATATGGTCTGTGTCACTGTCACACAGACACACACATGGTCTGTGTCACTGTCACGTGCACTGTCACACACAGGCTGTGTCACTGCAAGGCAAACACACACACAGAAATCGGAGGTGCCTGGGCCTGTGCTGCAGCAGGGCACACGCAGCAGGGCACACACGCACACACTGGTCTGGGGTGTGAACACGTCACTGACACTCTGAGGCACCAGGGTTGTGTCATGATGGCATGTGAACACACGAGGCACGAGGGCTGTGTCAGGGTGACACCTGCACATGCCTTTTGACCTAACAGTACGTGTAGCCCCTTTCAAATGTGKGTGTATGTTATGTGTATACACAAGCGTGCACACACAAAAACATGTGTGTAAGTTTGTGTGTGTGCATGTATAGAAACCTCACAGGGTTCAGCTTCCCCTAAGTGTTGGTGGTGGCAAACAAAAGAAACACCCATTTCTAGCATTTGCAATATTTCCTCGAAGACGGGGAGATAACTAAGATTAGATAACTAATCTTAGAGCTCGGTAGGCTCCAGCCGAGGTTCAGCAGTGATTGGTGKCAGAGATAAATATGGAACAGAAGACTGAAAGGGAGCTCCTGATGTTTAAGTCTAGTTTTTCCTACTACTACAATCAGCTAAACTGTGTATCACCTCAGTATTCCTACAGAATAAATGCTCTGGACCTGTCCTAGTTAGAAACTGCTACTGTTTTTCTATATTTCTGACCAATTTATCTCCATATGTTCTGTGCTGACATTGCCATTTGCTTTAAATACTTCTTCCGTCTTTCCTATGTATGTATTTATAGAATGAATTTATAGAGTGAAGCCAGTGTCAGGCTTCATTTTGCTAGTCTGAGCAAGTTAAGCTTTCTTAGTCTTCTCCTGCAAGGTTCTCAAATCCCTCATAATTCCCCACAACCTTCCTTGCTCCTCTTCTGAATTCTGATCATGTTTCTTGGGTACAAGGAGGCCTAAATTAAACTCCATATTCCACATCAAGTTCACCAGTACCTGATACACTAGGATTGGTGTCTTCTCCTTCAGCTGGAAGTATCTCACCTAAGACATTCTTTTTTGGACTTGCCAAGTTACATATGTGATGAAAGTCGGCTCCTTTCCCACATTTGCACCCTGCACTGCTTGTATCTCACACAGTGAAATACTGCTACTTCTTTCTGCTGCTAACACTTCACATGTAAGACACAGCTCCTTGGCATTTCACAGATATATATATATTCAATAGCAGATGCCATGTGTGATTTAACATGGCCTGAAATACAAGCCTACAGCTTGGCTTTCAGAATTTTTCTGTATAGAATTTTAACCTTTACTTTTATTCTGGTGGTGACTTCCATAGTAAGGTTAACCGTAAGTCTTGCAAGCCGTTTGCTTCCTGTGATTCCCTACACGCCAAATACCCTCCACAACACTCGAGGCATAGAATTTACCCCAAACTCCCTGGGATTCTCACCCGAGCACATCCAGCCTTCCCAGCTGAGCTTCCCAAGCAGCTGAGCTCAGCCTTGTTCATGGAGACATGGGCACAGACCATCATCGCTGGCTGCTTGTCTCTTCACAGCCACATGCTGGCAGCTCAAAGACCCCTGATCGACTTCTGCACTGGTCTCTCAGCTCATCAGTCATTTGCAGACAGTGAGGTCCAGCTATGTAACAGAAATCCTTCTTAATGACTTTAACTTGTCTTTACCYGATACCTTACTCCCAGTTCCAGTAGTACCAACCCACATTCAGTACCACATCAAATGCCTTGATGTCCACAACTACTGCATTTTATCTATCTGGACTGTTGGTAAGGAAAGTTTGTGCCAGAGTAAATGGTTTCTACTCTTGCTTCATCCTTGGGAACTTTATTCACCTCCAGCCTTTCATTCTTTCTTTCAAAGTTTGTTCTAAATTATCCCCTACAGTTATATCAAATCTTTTAGTTTATCTTGTTGTTTATTGTCTTATTGTTATTGCTATTGTTATTGTCTTATTGTTATCTTAAATCTTACTGTTTGGTGTTTTGTTCRCTGAATAACAAAAATTGTATTATCTCATTGTGGAATATGTATTTGTCAGAATTATGTCYGTGTGTATCTTTACAGTTTGAAAACATGAGCACAGAGGATAGTAAAATGTAGCAATACACTCAGTTCAGACACACACACATTCCCTCTGAAAACGAAAGGCTGCTAGTCAGCACCASACATCTAGAATATAAAAATACCCTGTGCTGCAAGAAATACCTGTTATGGTATTTAGCATTACTATTCTTGCCTGCTTTTTTCACTTATTACCATACTCTAGGTCTATTAACAGGCACTGAAATCTTTTTCCAGACTGAGTTTATTTCTGTTCATTTGCTTGCTTTTATTTTTTCYTTTTGGTCATATTTTGCCTGCCTTTTAAAAACAATTCTAGCATGAATTGTSCTTCTCAAGGGCAGAATCTAGCCATCTTAGCATGAAATAACAATGTTTTCAGCTATTTGTTCTTGATAGCTCTCAGCGAGGCACAAATTCTTCCAGGATGTGTGTGATATGACTTGTAAATTGACAGATACATTGGGGCTAACACTGAGGTTAGGTGGCGAGTGACAGCAAATTTTTCGGGGCTGCAGTTACGGTATAGCACTGTCAGAATTACATTTTTTTTCCAAAGAATAAATTGTACATGAGTTTGATAACTTTGAAGAAATTAGTTCAAAAGCATGTGAAAATCTATATTCTGAATGTAGTAATCAGTGAGTTRTTTGGACAAGTTGCATTTAAAAAAGGAACTGAAATGGTTCAAATTTTCTTGCATATTTTCATGAAAGTCTTCCAGAGTGCAGCAGAGGGTGCATATATTGAGCATGCGGATGGTACAAAGCTGGAAATGGCAAGAGTCCTGGAACAGGAGTCAAAATGTTATATGGTTGCAAAAGAAAGCAAACATCGTGACAAGATGGATAAACAACCTATAAAATACAGAAAGGAGCCTGTTTCACTCTGGGCTCTGCTGAACCCCTAAGCTGGAGCGTGGTGTCCAGATTTGGCTCTGTTCTGCACTGCGAGGAAGATGGGATCCAGTTGGAGAAAATCCAGATGAAAGCCAGAGCACACGAACACAGGTCTGGAAAACAGGCCCTGTGATGAGCAGTTGAAAGGCTGGCGCTGTTTAGTCAGGGAAAAGCCGACCAAAAGTGACACGAAAGCAGCTGCCAAATGTGTAAAAGGCTGCTGCAAATTCAAAGGGAGTAATGTATTTTCTCTAATTGTGGTGGACAGGGTGCAATGGAAAAATAAAAGAGGATCTTTTATGTGACTAACCAACTGATCTGATAGATAGGAGCAAACTTTATTTAGATTTCAAAACMACTATGTGACCTCTAAGGATATTTACAGTTGAACACAGAAGYACTATGTCTGAGGGGCTGTGCAATCCCTCTCTGCATCCTTGGATGTTTTTAAGAACAAATTAGGCAAATATGATTCAACACTAACCACTCTGACTTAAAACAACTATATTAACTGTGCACATCCCAATACTGTAGGCCTTTTTTAAAGAGTTTTGTCCACACGCTCAAAAAGTATGCATCCCCTTGTTTAAATAGCCAGCTCTAATACTTAGGTAGTCCTTAGAAAGCCAGCCAGCAGCCACCTAAATCTGAATTTTTTTACATTTTTTGTGGATGGGCATGTGCAATTTAGCCACAGTTCAACAAGCTCCAATTGCAGTTGAATGGAGAGAGTGATTYTCCCACCAGTGGTCCTGTTCTGCTAGCAGGTCCACCTGGCAAGCAGTGACCATAAACCCAAGGAAAGGTCCCATCAAACTGTGCTGGGAGTTTCTCAAATGTGGCAGACATTAATTCAAATCTGTGTTTTTTTCCCAGCTAGAAACATGAACAGGAACTAGCATGAGCGCTCTAATAACTGAATAATGTAGTGTCTTTCTCTGACCAATAAATAATGAAGGAGATAACAAAATTTGAGGCTTCTTTGTATGATTTCAGCTG